CCGCGGTAATATTCACAGGCCATTTGCGGCACAATGCCGCCACGTTAACGACGACAATGGACGCAATAATGAGCGGCTCGGGCCAAGAAACTCGTACCTGCGCCTCCGCAGTTCCTTTCGTTCCTGCAAATCCTTCGGATCGCCACTCGTGAATTGCACCGCGTATCAGGAAGCACGTAATGCTCGGCCGCGAGTATATCCGCCCGATCGTTTGAACTCCGGCCATTTCCCGTCGAATTTCTCGATGATGGAGAGTACCGGCTGCTTTCCTTAATTTTCCAATCGATGCTCGAACAAGGTCGCGAGCAACGAAGGTGCGGCACAGCCTCGCGGATGAGAAAATGGGAAATGGTGTTTATCTACGTTTCGAGTGGATTAGGTTTGGAACGAAGTTAAGGTGGGATTAACGAAAAGAATGACCTTGTAATCATAAGAAAATGGATCAAAGATCAAATTTATACTCTAAGTAAAATGTCTAATTAAACTGTTTCATCAAAGGGAATTCCATCGTGTGATGATCAGAGGAAGGGAACTAAATAAAATTGAGCAACCTGCGCAAACAGCTCGCAGCTAAATTCACTTGCAAGAAAACTCTCAAACAAATTAGAAGATCAATCGGTTTACAAAATGAAAAATTGATCTAGCCACAATGGAATCGGAGCAGCTTGAATCTGGCTTCTGCACGAATCGATCGGAACCGAATTCCGTGCGACGCACGAGGTTTGTCCAATGGGGCAAAAGCAGGAGCTTCGCGAGAGCTAACGCATCCACGTCGCGGACACCTTTCTCCCGCCATTACATCGGTCGTTCGGAAGCCATTACACGAATAAAATTAGGCGACGTTCCGCGGCCGGCAGAGGGGAGAAAAAACGAGCCAACACTCCGGATAAATCTTTAACCAGCGTAAGAAATGGCCGAAACGAATAAGAAACGGAGTACGTTCCTCATTCTCTCGATCCGAACAGCTGATCCAAGAACCGACTCGCCTCGGTCTCGATTCGGGCAAAAAAATTGA